GTCTCGCTGCCCAGGCGGGTCTCAAACTCGCGGGCTCAGGCAATCCACTTACCTCAGCCTCCCAAAGGCGCAGGATTACAGGCTGAGCCACCGAGCCCGGCAACTAGCTTTTGATTTATTGTAGAGATGAGGTCTCGCTGAGTTGCCTAGTGGGTCTCTAACCCGTGGGCTCAGGCAATCCACTCGCCTTGGCCTCCCAAAGTGCTGAGATTGCAAGCTGAGCCACCAAGCCCGGCCAAGAGTCGTCTGTTTTATTTTCTCCCTATATTTTGATCATTTCCCTAAAAAAGCAAATTAGTGGGTCAGACACATCTTTTTTAGACTCCTAACAGTCCCATAAAGAGGTAGTATCATCACCTCCATTATTCTACAGATGAGAAAACCAGACCCAGAGAGCTTAAATAATTTGCCAAAGGTCATAGGTGGTGACAGAGCTGGGACTCTGGCCACCTTGCTACCCTGCCTCTGAGTGCCCAAATGCTAACCTTTAGACAAAGGGCACCAGGACCTTCCCCAAGAACATAGCCTAGGGAAACAGGTAACATAGATAAGTCCAATCAAACCAATGCCAGTGACTTGAGCACACCCACAGGGTGCAGCTGCCATGGGGCCGCCTTTCCACGTCTCACTCCTTTGGTCCACAGTGGGTGGGGTATGACGGGAAGAGAGAAGAGAGCACTACCCTGCAGGGGCCACAGAGGACTCGCCGGGGTTCAATCACCTACTTTTTGAGGTTCAGTCTTAATCACTCTGACTTTACAGATGAGGAAACCACAGAAGCTCTGGGAGGTCAAGTGTCCTTTAGGGGGAACTTGGCCAATGATGGGGGAGATGCCTTCTCCTTTCCAGGCCTCTAGTTCATTGTTTTTCTAGTAGGGCAGGAAGCGTAAGGTTAAGAACTCTAGGCTGGGCTTGGTGGCTCAGCCTGTAATGCCAGCACTTTGGGAGGCCGAGGCAAGTGGATTGCCTGAGCCCGGGCGTTTGAGACCAGCCCGGGGAACTTGGCGAAACCTTGTCTCTACAAGAAACAAATAATTAGCCGGGTGTGGTAGTGCGTGCCTGTAGTTCTGGCCACTTGGAAGGCTGAGGTGGAAGGATTCCGAGAGCCCAGGGGGTTGACACTGGGGTGGCCGTGAGCGTGCCACTGCACTCCAGCGTGGGTGACAGAGTGAGACTCCGACTTAAAAAAAAAAAAAGAACTCCAAGAGGCAGGTCCAGCAAGAAGAGTGATTCAAGTTCGATTCTTGTATTTTATTCCTGAGACGGTTAAGGCATAAGCAGATATCTCCCACGTGGGCTCTCAGTCCTTACAGCCCGGGAACTTTGTTGTCTGAGCAGAACAGGAGACTCTGCCCTGCCTAGGAAGGGTGGGCACAAAAGAGGTCTTGTGGTAGGGAGGGGATGCATCTTCCTTTCATTCGATTTATTACAGAGATGAGGTCTCGCTGAGTTGCCTAGTGGGTCTCAAACCCGTGGGCTCAGGCAATCCACTCGCCTTGGTCTCCCAAAGTGCTGGGATTGCAAGGTGACGGACTAACCTGACACCCACTGACACCACCTTTTCCACTCAGGAATCCAAGACATTGGCTTCTTCTCATTTTTAAAAATTATTATTAAAAAAAAAATAGAGATGTGATCTTGCTATGTTGCCCAGACTGGTCTTGACTCCTGGCCTCAAGCGATCCTCTTGTTTCGGCCTCCCAAAGAGTTGGGATTACAGGCGTGAGCCACTACACTCAGTCCTAGGCATATTTCTGACAAGTTCATAAGTTGGCAAGCTTGTCCAGTAACTGCTACAGCACAGCAAGGAAAACAGCCCAGAGCCAAGAGAGGGATCTTTCAGAGTCACACAGCCAGCAACCACAGCTTTCTCTGTACGGGTGCAGTGTGAGAGGGGACAGGGTGTGAACTGTGTGAAGGGGGAGGCTTTGCAAGCAGGTGTCCAGGAACTCAGAAATCAGCGCTGACCCCTCTCTCTTGGGGAAGTCCAGGAAGCTGGGCAAGTCCTGGCCATTTAGCCTGGAGACTTGGGATCAAGACTCAGTCTCTTCCTTCCCAGCTATACAATCTTGGACAAGTCCCTTGACCCTCCTGAGTTATTAGTAAAACAGGGCAAATCATTCCTGCCCTGACCTGGCTCACTAGGCATCCAGGGCCAGGTTGGGAATGAAATGGCTTTGTAAAGGTAAGGGCTGGCTGGGTGTGGTGACTCACACCTGTAATCCCATAACTTTGGGAGCCCAAGATGAGAGGATCACTTGAGCCTAGGAGTTCGAGATCAGCCTGGGTAGCATAACAAGACCTTGCCTCTACAAAAATAAAAACATTAAAAAAATTAGCCAGGTATGGGAACGCATGCCTGTAGTCCCAGCTACTGGGGAGGCTGAGGCGGAAGGATTGCCTGAGCCCAGGAGGTCGAGGCTGCAGTAAGCCGTGATGGTGCCACTGCACTCCAGCTTGGGCGACAGAGTGAGATTCCGACTCAAAAAAAAAAAGGGCAGAGAGAACATAAATATCAAGTCCTCAGTGAGGCCCAGTGGACTTGGGAGTGGGCAGGGCTGTGTCCACGGCCAGCTGCCCAGTGGCCCGTCTCCTCCACAGGCGCCAGGAGCGAAAGCGCTTTGCTGAGTACCAGGCAGAGCTGCAGAGCATCCAGCACAGGGTGCAGGCCCGGCCCTACCTGTTTCAGCAGGCCATGCAGGTGAGACCAGTACCTGGGCAAGTGCTTTGCTGCCCTGAGAATAGGTCCGGCTTAGTGGAAGATGGGAGTGGGCTCCCCTCAGCTGGGTCCCTGGAAGCCCTGGGATCGCCCCAGTAACTATAGCCCCGCCTGGCCCTTGACAGCCCTGGTGCAGAGTAGGAATCCCTCTCCTCTCTCAGGCCAACGCTCGACTCTCCATGACCCGGCACTTCTCCCAGGTGCTGTCGGCTCTGGGACTGGATGAGGAACAGCTACTGGTTGAGGCAGAAAAGGGGCACCAAGCAGGCACCTCCAGGAAGCCCAGGTGAGGCAGGCTGGCTGGCCAGCCGAGAACTGGCTCTGCCCAGCTGCTGCAGGAAGGGGCACTCACACCAGCACTTTACACCCTGCAGGGTGTCCCCCCAGGCCCTGTCCTCCATGCCCCCTTAGGAAGGTGGGGCCAGGATTATTATTCCTACTCCCCAATGGGAAAACTGAGGACCTGGGGGGCAGAGCCTTGCTTAAGGACAAAGGAGTCACCAGGTGTGGTGGCTCACGCCTGTCATCCCAGCACTTTGGGAAGCAGAGGCAAGAGGATTGCCTGAACCCACGGGTTTGAGACCAGCCTGGGCCACATGGCGAGACCTTGTCTCTACCACAAATAGAAAAAGCCAGGTATGGTGGTACACGCCTGTGGTTTCAGCTACTTGAAAGGTTGAGGCAGAAGGATCGCTTGAGTCCAGCAGGTCGACGCTGCGGTGGCCATGAGCATACCACTGCACTCCAGCCTGGGTGACAGAGTGAGACTCCAACTAAAAAAAAAAAAAAAAACAAACAGGCGTCAGAGCTCGTCCGGGACTCTGAGACTGCCTGAGTGGCCACATACCAAACCCTCATTAGAGGACAGCACCATGTTAGTCACCCCGTGTAGACTCTACCTTACATTTTAGAATAATCTGGCACAAAGCATAAAGGAAACTGAGACCCAAGCAGGGGAAGTCACTTGTTCAATCGCACAGCAAGCCAGTATAACAGCTGGATTTGAACCCACATCATCAGTGGTTTCCTTGGGCGTAGGGGTGGGAACTGTGGAACCCAGTGGCCTCTATTTGTGTCTTGAAGGAGTCACAGATCGATGGGGATGAGAACGGAGCACTCTTCTCAGAGACCCCCCGTGGACACAGCCCACCGGCAGCCAGCCTGACAGGCACTCTGCCCCCAGCCTGGACCCAGAGTGCAGTCCCAGAGATCAAAATTAAAAGCTTTATGGAAATACAGTGTGAGCTTTCTGGTGGTGGCACGGACGGCTGTAGGTTGGGGGTGGCAGGTGGCAGGTGGGTGGGCAGCAGGCTTAGCTCTGTCCCCATATCTCCCTGTGACTGTTCTGGCTGTCCCCACCCAGCACACGACAATCCCTTCTCTGGTCCTCAAAAGCAGGACGCCCGTCTTCAAAATACATGCTGGGTCCTAGAGATGCAAGAATGAATAGGACAATTTGGCTGCTGCCTTTGAGGACTTCCAGTTTGGTGGGGAATGGGAGCAGGCCTTTTTTTCTTCTTTTTCTTTTTTTGACTCGGAGTCTCACTCCATCGGTCAGACTAGAGGGCAATGGCACGCTCACGGCCACTGCAGCCTCAACCTGCTGGGCTCTAGCGATTCTTCTGCCTCAGCCTTCTAAGTAGCTGGAACCACAGGTGTGTGCTACCATGCCTGGCTAATTTTTTTTTATTATTGTAGAGACAAGGCCTTGCCAAGTTGCCTGGGTGGGTCTCGAACCCGTGGGCTCAGGCAATCCACTCGCCTAGACCTCCCAAAGAGTCAGGAGCAATCCTTTAAAAGGGTGCATACATTATATCTTAACACATGGCTGAGAGGGGTTACACCTGGAGCCCCAGACTGAGCGACTGTCAGGTGTAGGGGGAGGTGTCAGGAGGAATTGTGTGACCTGGTTTTTAAATCCCAGCAGTTGACTGGGTGCAGTGGCTCATGCCTATACTCCCAGCACTCTGGGAGGCTGAGATGAGAGGATTGTCTGAGTCACAGGTTCGAGACCAGCCTGGGCAACTTGACGAGGCCTCATCTCTACAATAAATGACAGGCATGGTGATGCGCACCTGTAGTCCCAGCTACTTGGAAGGCTGAGGTGGAAGGATCGCCTGAGCCCAGCAGGTCGAGGCTGCGGTGGCC